CACCACTAAATTGTATGCTTTAAATTGGTTAAGATGGTGAATTTTATGTTATATGAATACCATAATTTTTTTTTTAAGAATCATCTTTCTCCGTCTTGTTCATCTCTGGGTCTGCAGGACCTAAAATCGTGCAAGGCACATAGTAGGCACTCAAACAAAACAGTTGGAGAAATGAGTAAAGTGGACCAGACTCCAGGCCTGCCAGCCCTCAGTCTCAGCTTCTTTCCATAACACTGGGAAGCTTCAGGAAGCTCCGGGAAGCTCTAATCCAATGGTTCGCAAACTCTTGAGTACATCAGAATCACCCGGAGGGCTCACTAAAACCCAGATCGCTTGCTGGGCCTCAGCTTCTAAGTTTCTGATTCAGAAAGTCTAAGTGGGGCCTGAAAATTTGCAGTCTGACAATTTCCTGCTGGCCCATGGGGGCCACACTTTAAGAACTGCTCTCTGCTACTATTAAACTGCAAAAGAAGAAAAATCTTAACACGATCTGGATAGAGGAAAGGCAGGGCCCACATTTAACTAAAAGAGAGATTTGAACCACCTGAAACCTAAGCCACACAAAAAAATGAGTAGTCCATTTTAATCCGTTGAAAAATCTTTGAAGCAGAGACTTGTTTTCTATCAGACAGATGAGTTTATAGGTTTGAGGAGAAGGTTAACTGGGCTGTATGAGATTTATGGCTACTTTCTTGGGGCCAACACACTCCCTCTCTCTTCAGAGGTGAAGCCATCCTGGCTTTGTGGAAGTTCCTCAAACAAACCAGCTCCTTCCCCACCTCAGGACCTTAGCACTTGCTGTTGCCTCTGCCTGCAACAACATTCCCCACCTGCACCCTCACCTTGCCCTACCTCTCATCCCCACTCCATCTGTTTTGTTTTGTTTTGTTTAAGATTTTATCTATTTGTCAGAGAGAGCGAACACAAGCAGGGGGAGTAGCAGGCCGAGGGAGAAGCAGGCTCCCCACTGAGCAGGGAGACCAATGCGGGGCTCAATCCCAGGACGCTGGGATCATGACCTGAGCCGAAGGCAGACGCTCAACAGGAGTCCCCCACTCCATCTTTTTTTTATCCAGCTAATTCCTCCACAATCATTGACAGCACCCCCCTCTAAGAAACCTTCCCTGAGGGGTGCCTGGGTGGTTCAGTGGGTTAAGCATCTGCCTTTGGCTCAGGTCATGATCCCAGGGTCCTGGGATTGAGCCCCGCATCAGGCTCCCTGCTCGGTGGAGAGCCTGCTTCTCCCTCTCCCTCTGCCTGCTGCTCTGCCTACTTGTGATCTCTCTCTCTCTGTCAAATAAATAAATAAAATCTCTAAAAAAAAAAAAAACAAAGAAAGAAAAGAAACTTTCCCTGATAAGCCACACTAGCTCAGGAATTTAAGGTTGGTTTAACATTAGGGAAATCACATTAATGTTATTACAAGTCATATTGTCATTTCAATTAATGCAAAAGAGAATTCAAATATTAAATACCCATTTATAATTTTTTTTTTCAAACCAGGAACAGAAGGGAACTTCCCTAACCTGATAATAGCTTTCTACCAAAAGGGCACAGCAATCATATGTATTCCCTTTAAAGACAGGAATGAGGAAAACGGCACACTATAATGACATCTGTTCACCACTGTTCTAGAAGTCCTAGTTATAGCAATAAGACAGGAAAAACTAACAAAAGGTATAAGGTACAAGGATTGTACAAGAAGAAACAGTATTGTCATGGACAATGATTTTTTTAGAGAGAGAATGCAATGAAATCTATAATATGTGAGGGACATTTACTTCTTGTTTCTTTTTTTTTTTAAGATTTTATTTATTTATTTGAGAGAGAGACTGAGAGAGAGAGAGAGAGCACATGAGAGGGGGGAGGGTCAGAGGGAGAAGCAGACTCCCTGCCGAGCAGGGAGCCCGATGTGGGACTCGATCCAGGGACTCCAGGATCATGACCTGAGCCGAAGGCAGTCGCTTAACCAACTGAGCCACACAGGCGCCCTGAAATGGAGTATTAAAGAGCCTATTGTAGCTATAGCTCTAATCCATATTTTCCAAAGAACCTTATTGGTAATAAAGGTGATCAGTCCTATTCTAACGGACTCCTACATCTACTTCTCAGTTTGTTCTCAACTTCGAAGAGAAGCAAAGGTCATATATAGTAATTCTCTCAGAAGAATTGGTTAGACGTATCAGAGAGTGGCTGGATAGAATCAATGTATAAAAATCAATTTTATTCCTATACGCACCAGAATAACCAACCAGGAAATGTAATTATAAGAAAATTCTGGTTATAATTTTAAAAGTCCTGCACAGTACCTAGAGACAATGCTGACAAAAGATATGCACAGTCTTTGCAAGGAAAATAATAAAATTTGAATAATGGACATTTAAAATCGCCTAAATAAATGGAGAGATAGACCATGTTTACAGATAAGAAGATTTAGTAATGTAAACAGAGCAACTCTAAGTGGACAGGCGGCCCTTCTCTACTCTGGGCCCCCCAAACGTTCTCTACCTTTTCCCTAAATAAAAAGTTAAAAATAAATAAATAAAGGGAGAGGAAAAACAAAGAGAGACTTTATCTTGGTTAATGAAGTAATGCCCAATAATCGTTTAACCTTCTTAAGCAATAATGCTACTTTTATGAAGTGTTTACTCAATAAAAGAATTATCACAATAACATTTTGAGAGAAGTACTATTATTATTCCCATTTTACAGATAAGGGAGCTAAGGCCCAGAGAGGTCAATCCACTTGCCCAAGGGCACACAGCTAGTCAGTGGTGGAGCCAGGAACGGAATGCAGGCGCTCGGGCTCCAAGCCCATATTCTGAACCACTGATGTCTGCCGCTGTCAAGATCGTCCCGTCATGCCGTTGCTCTCACTCACCTGCCATCTGAAATGCTGTTGTGAGCAGGGGGAAGGTGAGGTTGCAGCAAGCTCACAGTCAACTACAGCACTCTAGCCCCTGTATCTGTGGGCTCCAGGGAGTGTGTTCTGGGTAAGCACATCCATGTGTCAAGGGGAGGAGGTTGAAAGCCAGGCTCTATATGACAGATGAAGAATCTGCTCTGTTCATAAGGGGAGCTTTTGCCCCTGAGAAATGAACCATGTCCGGGGTTCCTAGAAGCTCAAGGAGATCCCGCCTCTGCTCCAACATAAAACTTTGGTTCCCTGTGGGTCTGTAGTCTCAGCCCCTTGCATTCTGTGCCACACACACATACTCAGTTCCCGTTCTTAGCACCCTGAGAAGCAGGGGGCATGGGGCCCTGAGCAGAAGTGTTCTGTTTGCCGCTGTACCGCATACCCTGGGCAAGTCAACGTCAGAGTCCACGTGTTCAATGTCAGCGTCCATGTGTTCAATGTCAGCGTCCATGTGTTCAGTGTCAGAGTCCATGTGTTCAATGTCAGGGTCCATGTGTTCAATGTCAGAGTCCATGAAATGGGTCTGACACTCAACAGATGCCCCCCTACCAGGTGAGGGGTGCAATGGTGTCCCAATAAAGACACATCCTGAACCGTCAAGGAGCTCAGTTGAGAAAACCACTTAATCCAAGGCAGAAGGATTTCAGGTTTAGGGCAAAGGTACAGAGTGTTTGGGAGGCCCAGGACAATAAGGGGTATCCTAGCTTCAAATCCCAGCTGCCCCACCTGCCAGTGGTGTGAACTTGAACACACTGCCCGTGGGAGTCAGAATAATGCCCACCCACCTCCCCACTCCCGCAAGATCTCCACATCCTAATCCCTGGACCCTATAAATATGTAAGGTAATTACATGACAATGGGGATATAAGGTCACAGATGTAATTAAAGTTGCTAATCAACTGTCTTAAAGATAGTGAGTTTGTCCTGGTTTCTCTGAAAGGGCCCAATGTCATCACGAGGGTCCTTAACAGTGGAAGAGAGAAGCAGGAGAGACAGAATGACATAGTGTGAGAAAGACGCAACTTGTCACTGCCGGCTTTGACGATGGAGGAGGGAGATGAGACATGCAGGCAGCCTCGAGAAGCTGGGAAAGGTGGGAAACAGATTCACACTTAGAGCCTCCAGAGAGCAATGCAGCCCTGCGGAGTGAGACTTCTGACCTCGGAATGTAAGGTGATAAATTCACGTTGTTTTAAGCCACGAAGTTTCTGGTAATTGGTTACAACCAAGACCAAAAACAAATACACTCTCAAAATTCTGTAAACCTGTTTCCTCACCTATAAAGTGGGAATAATAACCACATCTACTGCATAGAGTAGGTGTGATGATTCAACGAAAATCCTCGTGTGCCAAAATCCTAGTGCAGGGTTTCGCCCCCTGAGACGCTCTATGACACCTCCCTAGACAAGCCCGCCCAGGCTCCCTTGAGACAGGGGACAGGCGTGCCCCCCACCCCCATAGCCCAGGGTACATGGGCATCTCCCCTTACCTCTTTTTGAGGATGCCCGATTCTCCCTAGGACCATTCAGCCCACTTTCCCTTGTCCTCCCAATTTCTGCTGTCGTTGGTCTTTGATAGTGCAATCTCTGATTCTGGGAGGTGTGGGCACATGACGGAGAGAGAAGCTACAACCCACTTTCCATCAAAAAAAAAATGTATCCTTGGCCAGGAGACCAGGGTGTGCCCCTGGTATTCAGTGATGCTCTATTTCCAGAGCAGGCCGCGGGCAAGTCATCTCTTTACCGAAAAAGATGGCCCTAGTGAAAAACTGCTGGGTGTTTGTATTTTCGCCCATCTATTTATTCAAAGAACGCTAAGCTTTCTGATGCTGGGTTGATTCACAAAGATAAACGGGAAGGGAAATCCCAGTTTTTCTTCTTGGAGGGAAAAGAAAGGAGACACGGCAGAAAGCAGATTTACCACCACCGTTTATTAGAGTAGACAAGGCGGCGGGGGGGGGGGGGGGGGGAGAGATGATCAGACACCTGCACAGCCCCCAGTGCAGGCCTTGCAAGACTTGACCGAGTCCTGAGGGCCCACAGCCTGCCCAGCGGCTGAGCCCGAGGGACCCTGCCTCCTCCCCAGCTGAGCTTCCCGCCTGCCCCCTCATCAAACCTGTAGGAAGGTCAAGTGGGGAGGGGGGTTATACTTTAAGCTATTGGCTTTAATGAGTGACACAGGTTAGTAAAATGAAGCAGCATATATGTATTTGCCATCAGTCCCCAAGGCAGACTTGGCCACACCTGGAGCTCACAGGGTCTGAACACATCCATTTCCACGGCTGAAAAACACATGCAAGAGGGAGCCTTATCCCGTTTTGACAGTAGCCAGGTCGATGCTTATCAGATGGCTTGCTGGAAAAGAACAAGAAAAGAACAATCATGGGATGGTCAAGTTGACAGAAAGGGGAGGGGAGGAGGGGAAGGAGGAAGAGGGGGAGGGGAGACAGCCGAAAGCAGTCAGCTCCTAGCACTTCCCCAGATGCACCAGGCAGCACTGTGTTCCAACCACTGACTTTTTTAATGCTCCGAACGACCCTGTGAGGGAGGAGCCCTTACTGTCCTCATTTTGCCGATGAGGACACAGAAAGAAATCGGTCATTTTTTCCCGTGATCGGTTTTCACCATCTGAATGCTCTCCGAGTCCACATTCCAAGTTGGTGTGCACCCCTCCTCCCGTTTCCATGTAAGTGGGAGCTGCCTGCCGTGAGGCCTCTGTGGGATCCGTGTTTTGCAGGAGCCAGCGGTCCCCACCCCGGGCTCACCAGCAGGGCCGATCCCACCCAGAGGCAGAGGCCTCAGTTGGTCAGCCCCTGGAGGGTGCCGCCATGTGTGGGGCTCGCTCGACCCAGAAACCATCCCTCTTGCCCGGCCACACAATGGCACTAAGTGTCTCCCTTTATGGAGAGATGTCAGTCCAACCCCCACCCTTCAAAAGTGGAACTTCTGTTCCCCCCTCCCCTGCCCCAAACACACAGGACCGGGCAGTGCCGTCCACAGGAAGGGTGCGGGATTTGGCGTTGGCGGAAGTCTGACATCCCGACCAGTGCCTGGCATGAGTTAGTAGCTTAACACTGAGCTCCTCCATCACATGGGGTTAAACATATGCTCTCAAATGGCACCGGGTGTTAAGAGGATCAAACAGGACAATTTGTGTGAGAGGGAGCACTCTGGAAATTCTAAAGAGCACCACCCTAGAGGGTGGCTCGAAATGCTCTCCCCTGCATGGCTCTTGCCGTTCCTCTGTTGACTCATAGTAGCACAAAATCAACAACACAGATGTAAGATTCTTCTTAACCACAGATGATAAACGACCCAATTATATCCCGTCCTGCTTCGTCCATAAAAATGACAGAGGAGGACCGACATCCACTAGGCTTACCCTCTGAAGGGATTTGCTACTTCATCTAATGGGATCTGGAAAGGAGGAGCCAGCGAGGGAAGAAGCGAGGCGCCTGGTGTGGGAGCAGGCAGGGTGCGCAGGCACGCTGGGAACGCTGACAGTCCAGCTCAGGTGGCCCGAAAGAGCAAAGCCAGAGCAAGAGGGGGGCGGAATGGGTGGGCCGGGCAGACCCCGGGTCGGAAGGCTAGGGGAAGGCAGGAAAGAAGTTGCTGGTCCCCGTGACAGTGGTGATGGTTATGATGGATGTCACCGGTCAAGGCCATTGTTGCCAACTCCACCTGTAAAAACCCGAGTCTCCACAAGCCACACGTCTCCAGCTTCGTATTCCAGAGTGACCTTTTCTGGACAGCAAACAGGGTCACATCCCGCCCCTCTCTGGGATCTCTTGGTGTAGGGGTCAGGTTCCCTGTGTGTCCCCAGCAACCCCCTCGACCTGGCTGCCACCTCTCTCCCCTGCATGGCTCTTGCCGTTCCCTAGCCCTCAGCCGGCTGGTTAGCTGGCTCCCCTAAGCCACGGCCTTGAAAACCTCTGCGCCCACGCACGTGCTGTCCACCGCCATCTCCCTAAACCAGAAGGCCCGGGTGGGCGAAGGCACATACCGGATGCTGGCCCGGAGCCCCTCACACGGGATGGACCACGTTCCTGTCACAGTGGGGCTTGCAGTGAGGGTTCAGCCAGTGCTCCAGGAACTGCTCCTCGGCACGGTGCTCCAGGTGAAGCAGATGGTGCATGTATTCCTGTCCAAACAAACCCGCCCAGCAGAGAGGTTTTATCCACCGTGACAGCTGAGCCGCCTTCGAGCATGACACGGCCGTGCTTCTGAGACAGGGCGCGGCCAGGCGGAGGGAGGCTGGGAGGCAGGACCAGACGGGAGCCCGCCATGCCCACGCCTCTCTGCAGGGAAACGCAGTCAGACAGACCCGAGCAATGGGCAGAATAAAGAAGTCTGACAACCTTAAGTGCTGAGAGAGTGTGCATCTATGGGAACTCACACACACAGCTCATGGCGTGGAACGTGGAACCACCACTTTGAAAAACGGTCGGTTGCCGGCAATCGTCAATTATACCCTGAGCGGTAGCCCTCAAATGTGCTCAGGCCTCAGAATCACCTGGAGGGTTTGTCAAAACCCAGATGGCTGGGCCCCACCCCCAGAGTTTCTGATTCAGTGGGTCTGGGGTAGGGATCTGGAATTTACATTTGGGGCAAGCTCCCAGCCCGGGCTGATGCGGCTGGTCACTTCGAGAAGCAGAGAAACGTTTATCAGGAGCTGTGCAGGAACGTTCACAGCCGCCAAGCACTTGCGGTAACAAAACACTAGCACCATGCCAAATAGCCACGCACAGGAGGATGGATACGTAAATTGTGGTAGGAACGCACATGGAATAGTACACCGCAGTGAACACAAATGAATTCCAGCTACCGATGTCGTCTCAAAACATGAGTCGCTAAATAAAATATTATTTACGGCTGCGTGCATTTGTGATTAAAATCATCGCTTTTAAAAGGCAAGGGATAACTGTAAGAAAGCTGAAGTTGCTCTATTATTATCAAACAAAAGAGACTTTAAAACCAATAAAATGTGGGGCGCCTGGGTGGCTCAGTTGGTTAAGCGACTGCCTTCGGCTCAGGTCATGATCCTGGATTCCCGGGATCGAGTCCCGCATCGGGCTCCCTGCTTGGCAGGGAGTCTGCTTCTCCCTCTGACCCTCCTCCTTCTCATGCTCTCTGTCTCTCATTCTCTCTCTCTCTCAAATAAATAAATAAAATCTTTAAAAAAATAAAATAAAAATAAAACCAACAAAATGTTACTAGGGAGAGGGGGGCCAAATACAGCCTAGCAGTTCCTCGAAATGTTAAAAAAAAATTTTTTTTTTTTGAGACAGAGAGAATGAGAGAGAGAGAGCACATGAGAGGGGGGAGGGTCAGAGGCAGAAGCAGGCTCCCTGCTGAGCAGGGAGCCCGATGCGGGACTCGATCCAGGGACTCCAGGATCATGACCTGAGCCGAAGGCAGTCGCTTAACCAACTGAGCCACCCAGGCGCCCTCCTCGAAATGTTAAACATAGAGTGCCATGTCACCTGGCGGTTGTGCTCCTAGGGACACGCTCAAGAGAAACGCAAACGTGAGCCCACACAGACCATGTGCACCGATGTTCAGGACAGCATCAGAGAGCGTGGTCAAAAAGTGGAAAGAACCCGAATATCCATCAGCTGATGAATGGATAGATAGATACAATGTGGCAGATGCGTACGATGGAATATTATTTGGCCATAAAAAGGAATAAAGCACTGACGCATGCTCCAAGGTGGATGAACCTTGGAAACATTCTGCTTCGTGGAAGAAGCCAGTCACAAAGAACCGCGAGCTGTAGGATTCCCTTTCCACGTAGGAGCCTGCCCTACAGAGTGACGTGTTCACCGTGGAAAGCAGTTCACTATGTGGTGCCGCCCGCCTCGGAAACCATCTACTCGGGAATGCAAGCCAGGACCCAGACTGTCATGGTCTCCCTCACCCCCAAACTCAACATGACAGTGAGCAGGAGGACTGCGAGTCAACCCCTGAGTGTCCCAGATGCACCCCCCTCCATCGCTGCCACGTCTGTAGGTCGTGGCACCTACAGACCTAGATACAGACCTAGACCTACCACCCAAGATATGACAGTCTCCTCACCCCTCCATCCCTCCCTTAGCGCCCCCATCCCTCCACCCCACGCCACACCTGCCCCCAACATCTCCGCTCCACCTTGACAGTGACCAAATGCTGCCCAAAGGGGTGGGTTACAGCTGCCTTCACCACCACTGCCCACCTGGAAGGAAGAGCAGGTGACAACCCACTCTGCCCTCGGGGTTGGTCTGCTGGGTACATCACTGTGCCCAGCAGGTATTTTCTCCCCAGAAGAGAGGAGGTGGAGGTGGGAATGATTTTTAACTTGAAGGTATGCTGTTGACACTGTCCTGAATGAAGCCTGGGTGCTGTCATTATGGGATGTGAACCATTGCAAAGTATAAAACAGACCCATATAAACACATGCGGGTAACCCAAAACAGCAGGCCAATCATCAGAGATGTGGCATCTCACTTTGGGAGAGAGCAATCATATTCAGTAATATCTGTACAAGATTAAGCGATTTTGGTGTGTGTAAGTATCATAAAAATCCTAAATCCTGAATTCCCTCCTCTGGTGTTGATAAAGCTTTAAGAGAGGAATCCAGTTTAGAACTTTAAGTTTTTAAGGTTCTACGAAACCCTCTAGGAAGTCTGCATCCTGTATTAAACATAGTTTGGGGGGGAAAAAAATTTTTTTTTTTAATGACGGTGCAAAGGAATGAATTCTAAAGTGTCCAATTTTTCTGAATTTTTCTTCCTTTCCCAAAAGCAGGACCCATGCAGTTTGAATCTGTTTTGTTTACCGTTGTTGTTTTCATCTGACTTGTCAAAAGCACTCCTTGTCCTCGGCAGGGAGACCCTGGGGCAGCCAGGGAAGGAGCGGATGGTGAGAGGCCCCTGCGGGACCCCACTGTGGAACGATGACTGCCCAGCGGCTCACAGGACCCGTTTGTGAGTTTGGGGCTGAATCCTGCCCTGTCCTGGCCCGTCTGCGAGTCTTTGGGCAGAAGAAGAAGAACTGGGCGTGGAGCGGGGAGGTGGGCAGAGAGACAGGAAAGCAGTGTGGGGTCTTGTAAATAAAGAACAAAGACTTTCCAGCACACAGCCTTCCTTATTCTACTGTTCTGGGCAAGCAGCTCACTGAAGGAAGCCCACGTGGCCGGCTTCTTGCCTGCCTGTGCGCCAGACCGCACACGGTAGAGAGGCTTAGAGGTCTGGGTGTGAGCCTAGGTCGGGCGTCGGGGTCTGTTCAAACCCAGACCCTGCCAATATCGCTTCACCTCGCCGGCTTCCCTGTGCCCGTCTGCAAGACATGGATGGCCCTGACTCTCATTCCACTGGGTTATCAGGATTAAATGAAATGATACAAGTCTATGCCACACCTGTAGGCTCCAGCTACCCGTCTAAATCCATTCCTCTCCTCCTTCGCATGGCCCTGTGCAATGAGAAGCTGGCTTAGAAGTGCAGCCCAGACTCCCTTGACCTGGGGCTTCCAGATGGGTCTGATGTAGAGGCACCAGCAGGGGATTGGAGATAGGGGAGAGGGAGGCCTCCGGAGGAGTCCCAAAGGATTGGCTGGCTGCATCCTCTCCTGAAGACCACAGCTCCTAGGGGGCTGTCCTCTCCTACTCTGGGAGCCTGCCTTTCCCCTTCATGCCCAGGAGCTGATAGCCCCAGATCCTTTATCATCTCTTGCTAGTTGGCCTGATTCCTGCCTCGCCTTTGCAAGAAGTCCCTTCCTTAAACTCGGCTCAATTCCTTGGGGTTACTATTAGATAAGAAAGATCTGAGCGTGTCTTGAGGTTGTGGGTGGAGCCTCTCTCCCAGGAACTGGTCCACAGGAAACTGTCATAAATGCTTGTGGAACGAAAGACGAAAGCAGCCGTCCTCAAAGTGGGGTCTATGCTCCCCTCAGGGCTCCACAAGGTCAAAACTCTTTTCAGAATCATCCTAAGACATTATTTGCCTTTTCATTATGTGCATTGGTGGATAAAACTGGTGCCTTAACCGGAGTCAAGGCACTGACAACCACTATCACTGTCCTTGTATTTTTTTTTTTAAGATTTTATTTATTCGGGCGCCTGGGTGGCTCAGTTGGTTAAGCGACTGCCTTCGGCTCAGGTCATGATCCTGGAGTCCCGGGATCGAGTCCCGCATCGGGCTCCCTGCTCAGCAGGGGGTCTGCTTCTCCCTCTGACCCTCCCCACTCTCCTGCTCTCTCTCTCTCATTCTCTCTCTCTCAAATAAATAAATAAAATCTTTAAAAATATATATTTTATTTATTCATTTGACAGAGAGCGCAAGAGAGCATGAGCCAAGAGGAGCAGCAGAGGGAGAGGGAGAAGCGGGCTCCCCGCGGAGCACGGAACCCGATGGGATGCGAGGCTCGATGCCAGGACCCTGGGATCATGACCTGAGTCAAAGGCAGACGCTTAACGAGCCACCCAGACGCCCTGTCCTTGTATCTTTCACCATCACGCACTCACAGTGAAAGTACATAAATATAGAACATTCCAAAAATGCCCATTTCACTAAAGAACACCCCCGTGAAGCAGAAGAAAGTGAGCGCGTGGGAAAAAAAAAATTTTTAAATATTAAAAAAAAGAAAGAAAGTGAGCCCGTGGGGAAAAAAAATTTTTAAAAATTAAAAAAAAAAAGAAAGTGAGCCCGTGGGAAAAAAAATTTAAAAAAATTAAAAAAAAAAAAAGAAAGTGAGCCCGTGGGAAAAAAAATTTTTAAAAATTAAAAAAAAAAAAGAAAGTGAGCCTGTGGGAAAATAATTTTTTTTAAAATTAAAAAAAAAAAGAAAGTGAGCCCGTGGGAAAAAAATTTTGTTTTAATTTTTAAAAATTTAAAAAAAAAAGTGAGCCTGTGGGAAAAAAAATTTTTTTTAAATTAAAAAAAAAAAAGAAAGTGAGCCCGTGGGAAAAAAATTTTTTTTAATTAAAAAATAAGAAAGTGAGCCTGTGGGAAAAAAAATTTTTTTTTAAATTTAAAAAAAAAGAAAGTGAGCCCATGGGGAAAAAAATTTTTTTTTAATTAAAAAAAAAAGAAAGTGAGCCCATGGGAAAAAAATTTTTTTTTAATTAAAAAAAAAAAAGAAAGTGAGCCCATGGGAAAAAAAATTTTT